AAGATCGGGTTTCTGGGCAGCACGATGCTCAAAGTATATGCTTTAAAATTCCAAAAGGTATCTGATGATTCTCAGCCGCATCATACCAGGGCCAGCCACAAGCTAGATTTTTACAACTGCTTGACAATTTTTTAGCGCTAGTTACGGTCGTAAATTACCATTTGTTTGATCTGAAGTGGCTTAACTGTTGGAGACGGACCAAGCTTCTGTTTTTTTTAAGTCATTTTAAGCTTAAGCTTCTTTTTATCGAGTCTCGCAAAACCAAGGTAATCATCAAAACGGACAATCAGATAAAGTGTTTACCTCACACGGTGCCAATGGGACTGACTCAAAATAAATATGCTTAACCTACCTTAAGTGCGAGAACGTGCATGATTGACTTTAGTCTTGCACCCATAAAGAGTGGCGCATGTCTTTTAGACTGATCACAGAATGCAATAAATTCAAACCGAATGGATGCAAACCCGGTTTAACTTCACCACTCAACCGAAAATCGCTTCGTCCCAAACTCTTGTCATGTCTGAAACTTTATAATTCGGCGGAGCCTTTTTGTGATGCATAACCCACCGAGAGAAACTTTAAAAGACTGCAAACTAACTAGAAAACCCAATGGTCGAAGCGGAAGAAATATTACGTATTTTTTTTCTTGCTACTGTGAACTGAATTATTCCATAGTCTAAGTTCAAGTACTTGATTCAAGTGGATTCAATTTGCATTTAAGTAGTGTTCAACCCCTGTGCATGTATCGGCGCAACGATTTCAAACTGACAGGTTTTTCTATTCAAATTGATTAATAGCAATTGAATTGTCAGCCAGGTGAAGATAAAGGATTTATTCGTAAGCATGGAAAACTTTGGCTAGAATAACGCCTGTCTGCGTTAGCTGAGCTGGAGGGCATAAGTCTCCGGATTGACGGAAAGTAACTCTTTGATCCAAAGCAAATAGCCGTATTTCCCCTTTTTATCACAATAAGTATCGAATAATGACGTTATATGTCAATAAGAAACAATTAGATTTGACTGTAATGCAGCTGCATGAGTAGTTAAGAGGTTTACGGCCAGACCCTTACGCAGAAAGAATAGCACTACAATTTTTTTTTTGTTTTTGCTTTTTTTGTTTTGTTTTTATCGTCTGTTTGCATCAAACGAAAAAATGCGCTTGTCTGTAATTAATTGGTTCGTCTTAAAAGCTTCTAGAACGACTACAGATGGTATTTGCTAGATCAAATATCTAGATTAGACTTTAAAGTGCAGATCAAATGTGCAAATGGGAATTTAAGTTAGTATTTTGTGCGGAGCTGAAAAAGCTGATGAGTTGTGTCAAAATTCGACCGACCGTGTTCTTACCTTTCGCAAATCAGAGGGAAGAAGCGAGAGACGTTGAATTAGAGACGTGCAAAACATACACAGAACTCGATCGAATTGAACCAGGTAGGTTTCTAAACTGATTTACTCTTCTAGTTTTCATTTGGTGGTGATACACGCGTCCTTGCGTACACTGCAATGACTTAAACCATTTTCCATCAGTTATTTCAAAATTTGCGGTTAGTTTTTTTCGGGCTTCGCAAGTAATATGTGCAATAATGAATGGATAACACCCAACTGATGGCATTCAAGATGTTTCGAGGAGGCATGTGATATTCGAGAAACCGCGATAAAACAGCGATCGTTGGGATGAAAATACGGTCTATCAACAAAAACCTTACTAAACATCTTCAATTCACTTGATGTTTGTTTTTTGTTGCTAGAAGCGAGGTGAATTTGAGCGTCTTTGGAAGTCATGCAGTGCTGGTACCCTGAACTTTAATATACGAGACAGTTTGCCTTCATTAGTTCGGCAAAGTTTGTTTTCGATTCCTAAACTCCGCAGAAGTTGAAGCCTGATTTGCGAAAATGGAAATCAATGCTTACTTGTTTAAGCAATGTTAGACTATGTCACGTTCCTTTAACGTGGGTTAGGTTATCGCCACATCACCTCAATGTGTGTGCCAGTGTAGCCTAACTCCCGGAAGACATTGTTATCGTTTTCCTCAATGTGCTCAAAAGTTGCGAACGCTACAAATATTTTCTTCTCCTACACGATCAACAACCAATGGCTTAAGCCTTATTAACAGTAATATTGTAAACTCTACGATTAATGCTGCTGCTTCTCTTAAAATTCCGTGGAATTTAACCCATGGTCTGTTAACCGCGTCGGTAGTTATATCGTTGCAGCTCGATCATTTACAACTAGCTCATCAAGAGAGATATAAATAATAATGATCGATTATGATGAATGAAACGATAAAAACTGTATCCATATCTGTAAAGAGCACTCAAAGTTCTAACTTCCACAAACTTTTGAAAGGAATTTTCAAGTGTAATTCTTTGACCCCTCGGGTTATTTTGATCTTCCTTTATCAAACGTCTTTGTGCCGTTCAGCTTTGGGCTATGGTTTAATCTCGTTACTAACTCAGTCTGATTTGAAACTGTTGTTTGAGTCCTTATAAAGATGACAGTGGCTAAGCTGGTAAATCAGTCAGCTGTATATCAAGATATTTGGCGAATCAAAGTACAGATACAAAACGTTCCGATCAACTATTGGGCCAGGAGCGCGTTCCTTTGCAATGTTCGCTGTCTAAAGACTGGCTTCCTTCCTTGACCTTCGTCAAGATAGGACATAACTAGCAAAGTAAGCTCAAATTGGCAAAATTGTATGGAACATGTAGGCAGCTCCATAAGAGACTAACAAATAAAATAGGGATAAAATAAAGGAAGGAAGGAGACAAAGATCCAGACAAATGCGGAATTTTTCGTTAAAATTTTATTTCAGCGATACGACTGATTCAAAGCTGACGAGTCTCCTAGTTTCCTCGTGGAAAACTTCTAGTGTGATCATAAATCTGTTTTGTTTTTGAAAAAACAATATTTCAAATAATGCTGGCACTCTCTATCTTCGTCCCGTCATGACTGATCGAAAACATTTTAGTAAAACTGTTTTAAATATCTGCATTGTTCAAGTGGTAAATGGTCTTCGACGACATCGTAGACATCGCTTTCCAACCGATTAGCCGAAATGAAAAATGAGCCTAATGATTAAATGATATTCCTTCAACCAAGAGGTCCGACCTCTCTCAGCGGGTGGAAAATATTTATCAAGTTATCGGAAAGCTAAGAGTGGATTCAGACGCTTAGGGAACAAAAAGTGAAACGTGGAAGATTTTTTCGCGCTTTGTGGAAGAAACAATGTCAAGTGGATCTTGTTGATGTAAAATAGCAACATACCGATTTGCGATAGCGCTAAATCGATGCTTAAGGTGTTAACATGATATTTCTTACAGGAAAACATATGATAACAACTATCAATTTTCCCTTAAGCATGTAAACAAAAACACAACCTGTCATAAGGTTTTGATAAAGATGTTTTGATAAAAATGTTTTGATAAAGATGTTTTGATAAAGAAGTTTTGATAAAAATGTTTTGAAGCAAGGAAAATCAGGTACCGAAAAATACAGGATACCTGTTTTCTGATTGGCTACTAAACTGACTACTAATCTTTCCAAGTCAGGACTACTCGCTCAATCCCGCAAAAGGGAATTGAGGCTTGTAAATAAAGTATTTGTGGCCACTTTTCATTCTCCGTAGCTTCTAGCTAACCTGATGTTGTTACGAGGGAAAAAGTCTCTCTCGTCTCAGTTAACGTGAGTTGCATGCACTTGTTGTGCAATTCTCTAATGAGAGGACTTTTCGAATAGTTTCCAAATTTTATTTACAGTGCATTCTTCCGCTGGGGTTTTAGAGTCATCGGGGTAAGTTTGTACTTTAAGTTTGAAACCGCAAAAGATACCCTTTTCCGTAGAGTCTCGAGCCCCTTGGCCAACGTACTTTTCGAGCCGAAATTTTGACTGCAAGGAAGAAAAATTGGAAGATATTCCTTTTCGGGCAGAGAACGTTTATGAAATAATCGTGGAATCGATGCTGTGTCTTTGTTTATTTTGTCTGTTACCTATATACTGCTGCTATTTTCCATTGAGTATGAAGTCGGTCCGGTACAGACTCAAGTTTTAAAGCAAGGAAGCTTCCCGTCATCCTTAGCGCTCTATAAGTGTGAGAAGCAGCTAAGAGCATCCACATCTCTTTCCTACGGTTCTTCATTTACAAAGTTAAAAAGCACAGCGGGTAAAAAAAATTCATCCACTGTGTTTAATTTACTTTGCCAAGCAGGGTTTCAGTTACCTTTCATTCTAGCTTATTCCTGCAGTTATGACATCCAAATTTTCACTTGAAACTCTGAATTTGCAGGAAAAGAATCCATGTCTTTGTTACTAAGTTTTTTCTCACTAGATTTCGGGGCCTTAATGAATTCTACTGAATTTCACTGCACAAAAACTCGTTCGATTGGCAATTGAGATTGATGTAGCTATTCAAGTGAAATCGGAAAATTTGATAGGAGATCTTTATATTTTATCATGCTCTTAAAAGGACCTCCATGAATTGTCACAATGAAATTAACGTGGTTTTTGATTTCCCAAAATGACTTTGCAAATTCTTGTTAAAATTATTAATAGGGTAAGAAAATTAATGGATTTGGCGGCCTTGATGAATTCAACCCAGCGACACCACAGAAAAATTCCATGTTGCATGGATAGGGTCATAGCTAAGTTTGTAGCTATTTTAGGTCAGACAGTTTATGTACGTAGTGTCTTTAAATTTCAGTTCCCACGTATTGTCACAGTGGATATAATGTGGTTATAATTTCCTAAAATGACTTTGAAGGGCAGTGATTCTTTTTGTTTTACGTTCACGAGAAAGAATTAAAGGCTCATTGATACTTTCGATCATGAATTGATGGGCTAGGTATATAGGGTAATGTAAACTTATATTTTTATATCGCTAGTTTTACTCCCTGAAAACCAATTATGATGGTGTTGATTCGACTTACAGATTTAAGTGACATCTCGCAAACCCAGACAAGTGCTTCCTGTGGAAAAAAGGCGAAGATTAGAGTCGTCGCTTGGAAATGTTAACGAACAATACCAATCTTGCTGGTAGAAGTAACGATACCTTTGAATACATGGAATTCCGTGTTTTTAAGATAGCACTGTACGTTGCAATCTTCACATTTAGTTGTGTCGGGAACAGTTTAGTGGCCATTGTGATCATTGGGGCCAGAGGAATGAGAACAACTCCAAACCTTTTGATCCTGAATTTGGCTTTATGTGACCTCTTGACACCCGCTTTAAGCATTCCGTTTGATTTAGCTTTGGAAGAGCTTAACCAAGAGTGGCCGTTTGGTAGGGTGATGTGCAAACTTTTGTGGCCATTTCAGACGGCCCCTTCCACATCATCGTCTTTAACTTTAGCAGTTATTAGTTTGGACAGATTTAAAGCGCTTGCAAAGCCATTGAGCGAACGCCCATCATCTATCCGAGTTGTGAAGACTGTTGTGGCAATTCATGTTTTCTCCATCCTTTTATGCACCCCTTATTTTATTGCTTTGCAATACAACAGCTCTCCAAGGTCCTGCGCTGAAACTTGGACAAAACCGGGCTATAGACAAGCTTATACCATTGTGCTGTTTCTGTTTCAATTTGCTCTTCCTCTGGCAACTATGTCTGCATCGTACCTGCTTATTTATCGAAGCTTACGTTCGAACACGACAAGGCTTTTTTCCGAGAGCACCAAAAACCACAGACACGAACGTCGCATCATCAACAAAAACTCGACTTCAAGCAAGGAAGAAAGCGAATTTAAACGAAGGGAACAGAACATTCGCTTAGCAAAAATGTTCGTTATCGTTGTAGTGGTATTTGCAATAGGTATGTCTCCCAATCAATTTTTTTGGCTTTGGGTAGACTTTGGACGTGGCGCAAAGCACAGATTGTTTCATTACATTTCTGTAGTAAGCCGTCTGTTCACCTACGCCAACAGTGTGTTGAATCCGTTCATCTATGCTTTGAAAAGCAAAGAATTTAGGTCTGGATTTGCAAGGATTGGACGTGCAGGTATGAAGCCCTTGAGAAAGATAAGCACTGATACAAGGAAATTTGTTCTCAAAAAGGTCAGCAGAAGTGCGAGTCAGGGCCTCGTCCCAGAAACAGCCGAAGTCCATCCATTAACATTCATTCAAAATGGCGACGCCGGCAGAGATGTTGCTACTGATTCGAGAGGAGCCAAGGTGTCGAATAACGACTCCGTGGAAAACATATGTGCTTCACACAAAGTATTATTCCTTGAGACTCTCTCAAAACCTGGAGCACACAATTTTTTCAAAGAGCTTCGCGAAAGCTCATGTTGAAGGCATTGTGAATGAAAGTCCGGCCATCAGGCATAATTACATTCACCTCGATATTGAAAGAACTCTCGTTCCAATCCTGCCCCTAATCTCAGCTGAAACGATTACAAGAAATTAATAATGATAAACGCAGCTGGGAAAAATTAAAAGAGCCGAATAAAATGTGTCGTTTCAAAACCTGCCGGGTTGTCCGTCGTATACAACCCTTTTAAAATAGTTTCCTTTGTAATTTCGGAAATGTTCAAAATATCGGAACAGGCTTAATGCGATATTTGATTTATTATCATGAAATAAGAAATGATCTTTGAGGTCAAATTTTAATTACATTTATAAGAATTAAATAGATTTTCCCCAGGGTTCAAGCCTGTGACCTCAGATCACAGTGATCTTTCAACTGAGCTATGCCTTCTATGATCTGTCGCTGTGTCTGGAGGTCGGAGCTTGGGATCCCAGCTGAACCAGAAAATCGTTCACGCTTTCGCTATATATAACTCAGCTGCAAACATTACCATTTACTTACTCTTCTTTTGGGCGCATTTTATCGATATATGATTTGTGTGTGCAATGGGTTTATATCCTGTCGTAACAAACGCTAAATAGACAAAACTGAACGTTAAACTGAACGCCTCGCCTCCTGTCGTAACAAACGCTAAATTGACAAAACTGGACGTTAAACTGAAGTACTTTAGTTTCAAGATGTAAATTAGTAAGTTAGAGTCGCACTTTGAGGTATAAGGTATTTGTTTTCGTAAGGGAAGTGTAACAACCTTGGAGGAGAAACAAGCAAGCCTGGAATTTACGAGATAAGCGACAAGGGAAAGGTGAAACAGACCGATACCAGGATGGTGCCCGTATCCAAATTCCCTCGTAGTTCCTCCGCCTCACCACGGATTTACGTGATACTTCGGTTTCATCAGGAAACTGTGATGAACATGAATAGATAAATTAGTAGCCAAAGGAACGCCATACTACGGCAGAAATACTACTCGATAACGTTTTACCTAAGCCGCAGCACCTATATTCTCATCTTTGATACCTACCGGGTTCCTCAACCAGTCACTTCTATCCTCTTTATTTTCAAGCTTAATTGTTTAATGCCGTTTAGAGCAATTTTCAATTTCGCTTTGAAAGTAATCCGGGATTGCGTTGGTTTTGCTTTACTCCGCAATGCGATTAGTCCAGAAAACTCGTTCAATCCTCTCAACCAATCAGATTAAAAGATTAAGCCACTGGTGACTCCCCACTCGCGTTTTTCCCGTGCAATGAGCAGTTCGCTTGTTTTTACTTTGAATTTTCATTAGCTTATTGTTATATTATGTCTGCCCTGATTGGCTGATGAAATGATTAATGAATAAGAGGGTTAGTTTCTAAGAGAACTGTGGTGCTGCGCCGGTGGGAGAGTATAACAGGGTAATTTAGTATCATCAACTGAGTTGATAACATAAACTGGCCACCGTGAAGAGTTTAAAAGCTGAAGTTTCGAGCGTTAGCCCTTCGTCAGAGCGACTGGGATCGAACACAATTACTCTGACTAGGGGCTAATGCTCGAAATGTCAGCTTTTAAACTCTTTACGGTGGCCAATTTATGCTATCAACTCAGTTGCTAATACTGAAGTACCCGGGTGACATGATTACTTTGGTTTTGACAAAGTGCGCTATAGTCCATATAGATTTTTCATTTCTGTCACTGCCGTCCTTGAAATCTAACACTTGGGCTTCTCTTGTAGTTGAACCAAAGTGGTATTTTTTCATGGCATTCGCGTAAGTATAGGCGGGTCAGCGGGTGTGGGAAATCCAATAACAATGACAATAGTAAAAATTCGACAGATTAGTCTAGTATGAAATTAGCTGGGCGGTGATATGTGCATTCCAAAGATCGTACTCCTTCAAATTTTGTTCTGCTATAATCATGATTCGGCGCACGACTAGTCTGAGACGTGACCTCAACTCGCTGACTTTCTGCCAGCCGATGCATACACAGATACGGGGCTGAAATTTTGACAACCTAATTCGAGTGTTAATCCGATCCCTTTCTTAGAAATAGTCAAAGCTATTTAAAACATCATTGTAGTCTTAAAAGCTTCCGACAGACGACATGGATTAAGGTATTACTAACAATTCAATTGATTATGATTTCGACACACCCATTTTCCTACACTGAAGCATAAGTTTCCTATAGTTAGCTTACCACAACGCTGAAATGGCCTTTGAGTAGAGCTTTGATTAAAACAATAATGAGTCGAATTCCTGTTTGGCTGCAGTGCGGTCTTGTGGTTAGGCCATTCATTGTGCACTTTTGCCAAATGTGGTTTGGGATTGTCCCTACTACGTGTTACTAATGTTCTAGAAATCAGCTTAATTAATTCTTGAAGTGGATCATTGTTAGTTGGGTATCTGGATGCTCCGCAGATGAGGAATGACTAGGTTTTTTTCGGCAAAAAAGTGGAGTGGGCTGTTTTGCTTCTCATTCGTTCACCAACAGTATTTTATTGAGGGTAGTCTCTCATAATAGCTTTACTCAACAAAATGAAGAAACCCTTGACGTCCACCGAATGATTTTAAATGACTTCGTCAGGTATTACGATGAAATGATCTATCCTTTGATTAGTCAGCGATATACAAATCAATCACTCGTGTGACCCTAGTAAGCGCGCCTTCTTTTTGTCACAATTGTGCGGAAACTTGTTGATGTTTTAATAAAGTTTAAATGGTGTTCTTACTTTGATGAGTTTATGAGAGCCGCCTTTGATGTATCCCCACGTATTTGCAAGACAAGTCACGTCTTTTGTGCCGCGTAAATATGTTGATTTTTCTTTCACTGTCAAACAACGGAGCAGGAATTTCACTACTATTCGCCTTTCCTTCGCCCCCAAATTCTTGGAGCCACTTTCTGCTAATCTGTTTTTCTGTTTGTTTTTTTAATACCTCCTGCTAAGATCTCATTATTTATATGTCTTTGTATTATTGTATCGGCGCCTGTCTGTTTCATCAATAGTAACTGCGTGGTTTTAGTTTACTAAAGGAACGAACCATGTAAAGGTCACTGGTTTAAGTATGTTGCATTTATCGATCTCATCGTCCGGATATGACGGCGTCTGGCGTCGGTGGGCAAACACTGAGACCATGAATAGACCACGAATTCAAATCGCCCGTCTCTTGCCATTCCGTCAGTGCCTTTAGTGGCGAACAGCAATCACGTGCTGATTTCATCGGCCAGTCTTTCGTAACTGTCTCGGTAAACCTAAAGGAGGGCACGTAACAAACACAACCGTCATTTTTTGTGTTGAGTGTATCATTTGAAAATGGCTGTAAATGAAAGCACCATGGCAAGTAATATAACTGGTGTCCTATCCAACTTGGAATATCTAGAGTTTCGAGTGGTTAAGGTATTACTGTACGTTTTAATCTTCATTTTAAGTTGTATCGGCAACAGTTTGGTCGTAACCGTCATCTTGAGGGCCAAAGGAAAAAGGACACCAGCCAATCTGTTGATTCTGAACTTGGCCGTGTGTGACCTCGTCACTCCAGCTCTGAGCATTCCCTTTGATTTGGCCCTGGAAGAATTGAACTACGTTTGGCCATTTGGAAGAGCTATTTGCAAAGTTTTGTGGCCATTCCAGACGGCGTTTTCAACTTCCTCTTCGTTGACTCTGGCAGTCATCAGCTTAGATAGGCTTAGAACTCTTGCGAACCCGTTTGCTAAACGTGTCTCGATGGAAACGATGGTGATGATTGTGTGCACTATACACGCTTTCTCAATTGGCTTGTGTATTCCCTATTTCATTTCTTTGGAACTCAACGACAAAGAAGACTCCTGCGATGAGGCCTGGCCAAGTTTTGGCCATAGACAAGCATATACAGTTGTATTGTTTCTGTTCCAGTACGCCTTACCTTTAATGACAATGGCTGTGGCGTACTCTCTCATACATCGCAGCTTGCGAGCAAGCACGAAAAGATTATTCTCTACAGATGAGCAAAGCAAAAGATCCTTCAAAAGACCATCATCGACCATCAGTGATAAAAATATTGAATTTAAAAGGAAAGAGCAGAACATTCGTTTGGCAAAGATGTTTGTTCTTGTCGTCGTTGTGTTCGCCATCAGCATGTTCCCGAATCAAGTTCTTTGGATTTGGGTGGACTTCGGAAATGGCGCCAACAACAAATTTTTTCATTATATTTCTGTAGCGTGCCGTATTTTTACTTACGCTAATAGTGTGTTAAACCCGTTCATTTATGCCTTGAAAAACAAAGAATTCAGGTCCGGGTTTGCAAAGATTGGCCGCACAACCATGAAGCCCTTGAGAAAGATTAGCAACGAAACCAGGAAATACGCTCGCAAAATCAGTAGGAACGCCATTTTAGATAGCTCAAGCCCAACTCATGTGAAATATTTTGCAGGCCGGGATGATACACTAAGCGATTTAGCCACAATCGTAGGGCCAGCGAATTGTTCTGAATCAACAAATATTTCCCAACCTGCTAGACACCGTAATAGAAAGAGTCCATGTTGCGAAATTCAAGGCGTAAGACTTTCACTAAATTTAGCCGCAGGGCCCATTCGGCCAATGCTATCAAACAACTCTCCTGTTCGATTTTCTTGGGATGGCACGGAACCCCTACGAGAAATTGTTCGCAGAGACTGTTTAAATCCTAGAATCCATGGCAATTCAGAGACTGCGCGCTCTTTCGATGACGCAAGAATGATTTCGGAGGCATGGAAACCTTCAGCGTTACACGATGTACTTCGAAAACTTCCCGAAACGAATTGTTGACGTGAATGCCCTTTGGCATGTCCGACGGTTTATTTATGTTCATGGTGTAAGCGGAGCTCGCATTTCTTTTCCGCACGTCTCAAAGGCACAACGCCTTGCCCAGGCCAGGACTAGAACCCGGATTGTCCGACTCGGAGCCTAGTGCACTGACCACTGGACAAAGCCGTGGCGTTGGCGTGCCCGCGGTACAGTTGACCACGCATGTTAAAAGTAGCACCTTGTACGGTCGTA